GCAGGGTGTCCCTGAATTGCCACCGACCTGATCTCTGCTCTTGTTCCCCCATCGTAGGGCCCCCCAGGCAGCAGCTATGGCCCTGAGGTGGATTTTTTGTTTTGTTTTTGTTTTTGTTTGGAGTAGCATCAGGCTTGGAAGGGAGTTGATACCAAATTTGTTTTGAAAGCCCCTTTCTGGTTACAAGCAAGAGCTCAGTGGCTCCTTTACCTTGGAAAGGCAGGAGAAAGGGCACACATGACTCAACTGTTTGCATGTGGTTTTGCTTGTTTTTGTTTTAAAACTTCCTACGGCTTAATGAATCAGCTGGGGCCTATGACCCTGCACTAATCATGGCATCTTATCCAGGGGAGGTGGGGGTAGCCAGAGAAAAAATTCGGCCAAATGGATTGAGGAACACGTTTGAATTTGGAAAGAGAGACCTGATGTTCTTGTGTCCTTAAAAATCCTATCACCTTCCTATGCCTAGATTCCCTTCCTGTCTCATAGGCCAGGCTCTGACACTGAGGTTCTGACTGCAGACACGGGACAAAGTCCGCTGAGAGCTGGAGTAAGGGGTGGGGAGTGGAGGGAGGGGGAGAAGCACTTGATGTAGTTGTGTGGAATAAACAGTATTTTTTCTTTTGTACTGGTCTGCTTGTTTCTCTTTTACTTCTTGGGGTGATGTAAGAGAATCCGTGTCAGAGACCAGGGCAGGAGCTGCCTTTGCTGTCAGAGCTTGTAGCCTGGACAGTCCCACTGCAAGAGCACGAGGGTCAGTGCCCTGGGGAGTCCTGGAAGTCCCAGTTCAAACCTGGCCTCCCGGGGCATTGTGAAGCTATGCTTATCATGACAGCGGGCTAGAACTTTCACAATCAGCTGGATTTACGCTTTATAAAACTTAAGATATATGGTTAAGTGGGTCTTCATTTGTTCTCTTTCCCAGGCCTTCAGAGGTCATGGGCAGCCACACCACTTGAGCTCAGAGGTGGAGAGCATGGCTGTAAAAAGAGTCTCTCCCTCTGCTCATCTGCCTCCTATGAGTAGGGTTCATGCCATGCTCTCTTGCTGTCCTCCCTCCTCCCCCCCCCCCCTACCTGATACTGATAAGGTCTGGGCTACATAATCTGAACTTGTGAGAACAAGGCATCACCTCTGATTCCATCCAACCTGCATTCCTGAGCCAGGAACTGTGCTGGATTCTATTTTTTTTAATTTATTTTTTAAAAATTAAAAAAAATTAATTGAAGTATAGTCAGCTACAATGTGTCAATCTCTGGTGTACAGCATAACATCTGTGCTGGGTTCTAGATAATGCTCCAACACCCCACCTCCACTCAAGGGACAATAGGTATCTCAGATATCTAAGATTCTAGTGTAAGGCTTAGGGATCAGAAAAGCTTTACAGCTCTCTGAAATAATGGGGTAAAAAATGAAACAGAAGCCAGCACGTACCTTTGCATAGAACTCACAGCCTTAATGTTAGCTGTCCACACTAGGCTGTGACTCCTTAGAACCCAGGCCAAGGGCACAAAGCAGAAGCTTGACAAATACCAGATGGATGATTAAATGCATTTTCTACCCTCTCTTTTCAAGGAAATAATAAGAGCTTAGTCCGTGACTTCAAGCTACTAGTAGCAAGCAGGTACAGAGCATTCTGCATAGCTCTGCAAGGTTTAGACTATGATAAGTGAGAGCAAGTGGACTCTGGGCAGTAGCTGGCCCTGATGCAGTTCCCAACAGCTCCCAGCAGAAGGGCCCCAGTGGAAGCTGCTCTCTCTGGATCAGACCAGTTGAGCGTGGTTCCTGGCAACTGGCCCAAGAAGGCTTTAAAGGAAGAGGGGTGGTTTTGTGGAGAGATTGCAATTTCTATTCCGAAGTCTGAGATGTTCTCTGGGGCTCCTGTATCTAATTCCAACACGTGTCTGTATCTGTGCGTGTGCGTGCGTGTACTCACTTCCCCACACCAACAAGCAATTTCAGACACTAGCAGTATGTCTGAAAACAGTTAAATTCTGACATTATCTATCCTGAGATGGCATCACATTCCACAGATGAAGGATTCAGTCCCAAAAGACCACCCTCCACTTCAGATGCCTTTTCTCTCAACTGCAGGGTCCATCAAAGAAGCCAGACTGGGCTTCAAAGCCTCCCTGCCTGGAACATTGGAAGATGTAAAGAGTTAAAGCTAGATGGTTAGTTCCTCAAAAAAGTCTGCTTGCAGATTGGTGGTGGTGGCGTATAGCTCCATGACAGAGCGCATGCTTAGCATACTCGAGGTCCTGGGTTAAAAAAAAAAGTCTGCTTGGATAGCAGTTCCTTCCTGTATCTGGAAGAAAATACTGAGTGACTGAGTCGGGAACTCAGCAGTCATGACTGATTTTCTTAAATGAATATGAAGGGAAGCCTAGGAGATGGATAGGTGTTGATCCTCCAGGGAGCTTGAGCCCTCAAGCCTCTGAGAGAATTGACTTGTTTTAAGAGGTGGGCAGGACAGGTGCTAGGACTGCCTTTTCGTCAACTGTAATAATAGCTAACCCTGACTGATCACTGACTGTATGCTAGGCACTCTTACAGCACTTAGCATGCATTACTTCAGTTAATTCTCATCATAATTCTATAAAGTAAGAACTATTAGTATACCCAATTTACAGATAAGGAATTGAGCCAGAGAGAAGATGAGGAATCTACTCAGGGTTGCTTTGTTTGTGAGCAGCAGAACCAAGTCTTAAACGAAGGTGGGCCATCACTAAAGCCTATGTGTTCAGCCTTACCCCATAGAGTGTAGGACCTGGGGGTAGCTATACAACCTGATCTTTTTGGTAGGATTTCCACATGTTTCCACCCACCAGGGTAGGTCCTACTATGTTCCATCTAAACACTGTCTAGTTCCAGGACCTCATCTAGGGGAATGAATCCTTTACAAAGAACCCAGTGGTCCAGGATCCTGAATGTTGAGCTCTGTGCCACAGGTGCTCTGGTTAATCAGTTATATTTATTACTATATCTAATAGGAACCATGATTTTTGTTGTGGGATGAATTTATGGGGACAGAACTTTGGTCTATTGACAGATGTGGATTTCCAGGAGACTACCTGGTGATATTTTCTTGGAGGCAGCACCCACAGGGCTGCTCCTGGAATTCATTTCCAGCCCTGGCACTCCAATTTCACACTTAGTTACATCGGGGAAGGGACAGGAGGGAAAAAGTCCACTCCCCGCAGTCACAGAATTCCAGGGATAAACAAGTCTGTCTAAGGTCTTCTCCTCTAAGGGGACCTTGGGCTCAAGGACCTAAATCTCAAAGCTGATCCGTATTCCAGTTGGGAGGGGCCAAGCCTTAGGAGTCATCTTTCATTTCACCTGTTTTAGAATTAATAAATGGTACAGAGGACCTTTATGAAATCTTGGTATGGGTTCAGAATTAAAACTTAGGCTCAAACCTTTCCAAGGAGTACATGTCTGTCTTTTTCTAAATATTTTCCAGGGATAGGGCTCCATGAGATTCCTGGATCTGGTTATCTCTTCCAAACATTAATATGTTTTATTTTAAATCTATTCCCTTTGAACTGTTTTTCTGTGGATGAAAAAACATGCTTCATCCAATGTTCTTTCATGGGAACAATTTTCTGAAAATTCAATATTCTCCCCTCCACAAGCTTCAAAATTCAGCCCTGAAAGGACAAGGAGGTGGAAAGCAGATTTTTTGAGGTTGTAACCATCCACAGAGATGCTGTGGCACAATGGTTAGATGTCCAGACTGGGAGGTCAATCAGCCAGGCTTCACCACTCTCAAGCTGGGTGACCCTGGACAAGTCAATTAATTCTTCTAAGCCTCAGTTTCCTTATCTATGAAATGAGTCTAAAAATGGTACCTTCCTTACAGGTGTGATGCGAAGATGAAATGAGATAGTATACACAAAGCACCTAGTCAGGGCTTGGCACCTAGGAAGGGCTCAGTAAATAGGAGCCTGTCATTATTATTAGCTATTATTTGCTCTGAATCTGTCAGACCCTAGGACTGTACCACCATCAGGGAGGCATCACTGTAGAAAAAGCCCAGCTATGTGAATCAGGGACCAGGACTGTAGTTCCTGGCTCAGCTGCTAATTTTTGTAATATTTGTTACGTATATGAGAAAACTTTTTTTTTTGGTAAGTTATGAAGCACGATGATGAAACAAGTACCCATGAACCTACAACTCAGCTTAAGTAAACTATTACCATGGTTAAAGCTACTTTTGAG